TGATTTAATAAAAATTTGATCACCTTTTCTTGCTTATTCTCACATCACCTTGAATGCTTTTGAGCTTCCTGTTTTGACCTTCATCCAATTAAAATTTCAGTTTTGATTTTCAGTTTTAAGGTTTCCACAACTCTGCATTGACCAAAAAAAATGTTGCTTAACTTTTTATAATTATGCTACACAAGCACCATATTCCTCCAGAAATCCTGGCAGGTTTCTGGCCAATAAATGCTCTAGGATCAAACTAAACTTGTGTTCATGTCCAAATTTGGAATAGCACAGAGCTATCTGTGTCACTGGTACAGATCTATGAAATAGAAATCACACTCATGTTAGGTAGCAGAAACACTGTCCTACTTCCTTCTCAATTAACTCATTGATAGTGATGACGCTAACCAACACTTCTACAATGTATTATCAGTAAAAAATTCTTTGTTATTCTTATAGTAAACAGGATTTCTATGAGGCATCAGATCAAAGGACTGAACACCAGGCAAACTTAACTTTCAAGTTAAGATATGTTTATGCCAGCAGAGTTGAGAGTCTTTAGGAGCTACTTCAGTACAAACTGCTTTTCATTTCAGGGCTGAGTGGATCTGGGGAATGTGCTGGTGAAGTATGTCAGACGTAAACTTTACTAAACATAATAGTTCACAGCTAATTAAGAATATAACCATTTTTACTGCTCATTGCTAGTGACCATGATCTACCTTTTTGCCATTCTATTTGGCACGGCAGGCAAGGATCATTCCCCACTTCCACTATAACTCATAAAAAGACACTTGCTAATTCCTGCCAGTGATGAAGACAGAAGGCATCTTTGCTTCTAATTGTTCACAGAGACCAACCATAACCTGAAATAACCACAGGAGAATTTTACACAAAACATAAAAAATTAAGGGATATTTTATGCTCTAAACAAATTCTATGATGAAACTACCACTTCAAAAAGCTAGTAATTAAAAATTTACCTAGAGTGGTTTAACTAGGATTATGTATTGTTCTCAATTGTCTTTAGAGAGCAAATAGTAAATTTTTTTGTGATCTTATAAATGTAATAAAATCCTTTTATGATGCCTAGATTAAAATTGTAATGGAAGACACCATTGTAATCAAATTGTAGGACATCTCATAAGACATCTCAGGCATACTCAGGCATACTGAGTAGACTAAAGGTCTTCCTACCTGTCATTCTTCCTCTGACAAGTCAAATTACAGCTGTTGGACCATGGCTGCATAAGAGGTCCAAGATGTTCTTAGTTTGTCTTACTGACCAGTATGAACACTTGGTTCCCTAAGCAGAACTAAAGATGCCAATCTAATATCCATTCAGGGACATGTCAAGAAACATACAGGGAAAGGCTATAGTATGCTTTTTTGCCATGGCCATTCTATCACCAATCCTTGGTGTTACATAATTACAGCTATCAGCATCCCTGATACAGCAGTCTTACAATATCACAGCTTAATGGAAACAAGCAATCCTGATGACACATACAGATTAGCTAGAATTTGATTCACTTCAGTGCATTGATGAACCAATAGAGACAAGTAAGCAACCATAATTTCTGAGTAGTAAATTACTCTCCTACACAGGCTAGTGCTTCAGGACTGGGAAAAGGTTAGGGAACATCCTTTCCAATGAGAGTCTGACTCTGAAGAAGTCTCTAAAGAACAACCTCTGCAAAACAGCTTAAAAGATAAACAAGGCTATTGATACTTACACAGTGTTTTGTATTAGCACTCTTGGAAAATAGCAGGGACGGAAAGTGGCAGTCCTGAAGCTGAAGACATCTTTGTGTGGCATTGACCTTTGTACCTTAAAGTTGCCTTTCCATTTTATTTTCATTTCCTTTCAGATTGACTTCTGCTTGGTGAGGTGCAGAAGGAAAGGCATAAATGCTAGTTAGAGCTCGGCTGCTCCATGAGACCCAAGGGGGACCTTGGAATCAAGAAATCAGTCTTGCATTTTTTTACCGGTTGGAGCCAAAAGGACTTGTAGGCAAGGAAAATAGGTGGAAAAGTTAGGGTCTAAGTGCTGACAAATCAGCAAAATGACGAAGTTGCTATCAGTGCAGGTGACCTAAGAAACACTCAACCAGCCGTGCTTTTTATTAAGCCCCTAAACAAATGAGATCAATAAAGAACCTGCACAGATTTCATTGTATGGAACACTGGGGGAATGTTTTCTAGATTAAACATGTAAAAAAAAATGGCAGAAATAATTATTCTATTTTTAAATAGGCTTTCAATTTAATCCCCATATTTTAAATAAAAGCTTTAGCAACAATAAGAATTGGAAGGAATTTCCTACTAGCCTAGGAATAATTATAACTTTAAATAGTCACCAAAGGCTGCAACTCAGAGGTTTCATAAGCCCCTTCTCCCATTCTGAACACCTCACTATTTACTTATCTTGAGCCATATCTACAGCCTTCCTCTATATGCAGGCGGTCAGCACCTTTCTAGAACACTACCATCACTAGCTTAACTACTGTATCCTGTATCCCTTCAATGTGTTTCTATCTCAGATTTATGCAAAAGCTTTTGCATAACACTTTCAGGCCCACTGCACTAACTGTCTCAGTAATTTTTAATTTTTATAGTTGACTACATCACAGTCACTGTCAAGTATTGTATTTTCAATAATAAGACTTACCCTTAGTTTGTGAACTTCCTGTGACTGTATAGTGCTGAAAGAATGCAATTCTACTTAATGGCACACGAAGACTACACTTATGATGTTACTACACTACGAATATATGACAACAGGATCCAATTGAGCGTATTTGCTATTTAACTTTTCTATTCAAACTACACTATTTATCTATCTTAAAATCTATTCAAGGAAACCATTACTTAAGATATTTCTATTGTACAATTAAATCAAATAAAAAATCAAATAGTTTTTCCTTAAAATTGTAAACAAATCACCAAACCCATAAATATCTGTTTCTATTAAAAAAAAACAACCCAGGAATATTATGTCAGATTTTGCATTACTACAAATTTACAAGTCCAAATCTGTTTGATTTCCTACAGAACTTGTATTGCTTTCCTGGAGATTTTCTCTAAGTTGTAAAGGACACTTTTAAAAGTAAAAAATTATTTAATGTTAAGACTCTAAGAGCCATCAACAACAAGAAAAACAAGACTTCTTTCTCCATTTTGATAACACAATTATCTGACTCGGTAAAACTTGCAGTTTGTAGTCCATCTGTAGTAGACATTTTAATGCAAAGTTAAAACAATAAGCTACCAAGATACACACGTGTTTCAGATGTCTTCATGCAGCAATAGAAAAAAAGTCCCTGTTTTTGATTCTTTTCATGCAATCTTTGGAGACTGACATTGAAATCTGAACCTGCGCTGTTTAAAAATATAATCCAGGTGAAGCAGTAACAAAATGCAGTCCAAGTGTTCTCTATATTGTTTTTTCTGACAAATAATATCTGGATACCCAATTTGATTAATGAATCTCTTCTCAACTCCTTTTCTTTATGACACTTTATTGAAAATTTATCAGAAGTTTTATTATAAACTATGGTGCTTTATTGGCAGCTATCAGCAATAAGCACTACATTCTTTACTTGGTGTTTTATTCAGTCATATCCAAAGTCAACCAAATTGTGAAAAAGCTTTTTTTCCTCAAATTTAACTGTTCGATGCTTCAGTCTGGCACTACTGGACATGGATGTATTCAAAGGGGTCAGCTGTCAGTATTCTGACAGTATCTTTCCAGATACTTCATTTAAGCTGCTGTTATCCAAATCTTTTCTGTCTGATAAACAGAACAGAAACAAATGATGGCTTATTTTTTATTTCATAGTATAAGTAAAAAATTTTGTATGCATTCATGCATCTTTGGGTGATCATTAGTAATCTCCTGTATATTTCCATAAATATTTAATTTCACGCAGAGCAAACTACACTCCCTGAACAGGTATTAAAATATTCAGACTTTATTTTATGCAATACTTGAATTTTCTGTATTGTATAAGGAAGATATTGTACTGTACTTCATTTTCCCCAGAAGTTATTTATGAAGACGGTGAGGCTGTTTTAAATTTTAGGGTGGCAACATTTGTCATGAGCCTTCCTATAAAAATCTTGAGGGGTCTAAATAATGGCCTCTGGAGATTTCAATCTTTTTTCTCTGCTACAGTTTAATACTGCAGATTTTTATTCTAAGGAAGTATCTCACAGGGCCTCTCAGAAATTGAATATGAAAATCCACCCTCCCAGAAAAAAAAATAAATCAGTGTTTAAAGCTTTTCTTTGGAATTGCAGGAAGCTGTAATAGAAAAATCAAGCTGAACATCTGCTATTTCACATCCCTCTGCCTGGATTAAAAAAGTAGGATACAACTACTAATGTTGGTGCCACACATTCACCAACAGAAAATTGAATCTTAGCAGTAACTTATCTTTTGATGAAGACAATGTTACCATGAAGTACGATTTGTGATCCTTAGATGAAGGCAAACCTTTTGTTTAAGGGTTAAATTTTTTCAGAAAATAGCCTAGAAAAAAAAAATCCACCTTAAACATGATCATCCTCTCACATCCAAAATTAATCTGAAACTTTGGATTTAGCTTAGCACTGATAAACCTTTTCTAAAAAGTTTAACTTCTTGTGCAACAAACTAATATATTCATTATACATTAATTAAAATTCTCAAGATAGATGGATTTACTGAAGTGAATATATTGCCCTATACTTCACGTATTTGACCCAACCTAGATATATGACATAATGAATACTTGGATCTAACTATGATAGCCAACATACAAAGTAATTAATCATCAATAGACAAGGCATCTCAAAAATTTCACAGCTGACATCCTGAAAATAGGACAGGATGTCTGCAAGACAGACATTAAGAAGATATAAAACAGTTTGGAAATTTGTAGAAATATAAAGAAAACTGAAACACACAGCTTACAATGTTTTTATGTGACAAGCAGTTCAAAATAAACACAGGAAGAAAAGAACATCAGGAAGAGTTATTTCAGACTCATTGTTCTAAATGATGTAAAATGAGCTACAATTTATTTTTGTGGCAAAGTACTGTACTCAAGTTTGATACCAGAATATATATCCTCTTTTTGAAAAATTCAACAGATTTCTAACACTCTCCACTACTATTAACATGTTAGTTAAAAATGGTTTCATTTTTAATTATCTATACTGACAGGAGGAAAAGATACTATTTCTTACTTAGCATCTAGTGTAATAGTGAGGGAAAAATTGGAAAAACTATAAAAATAATCCTACTAGACTTCAGTAGAGAATAGATCTCACACAGGAGCATCCCTCATAATCCCAGGACTCTCAAGCGAGGTCTTGGAAACTTTCCAAAGTTAGCTACTAATTTTGATCTCCTTAATGTGGGCAGCATCCTATGTCCTAGTTTAGCAGAGCAGAAAAAGTCTTTTCTAATGAGGAAACATAACATGCAAAGACAAAAGACTCTATACAGTGAAGCACACAAAGGAAATCCATGCCATTTAATTTTATTGTGCTGTGTTGGTTGCCTCCTTAATGTGAGTTTGTAGCCGATAAACTGTGAGCATTTTTAGATGTATTATTTACGTCAGTTCTTCAGGCGAAAGCAGGGCATGTTTGGAGCAGCAAAGCTCACTTTTGCACTGTTCAAAGACCTGCCTATCTGAAAAAGAATGAAACTTGTTTGGCTACAAACTTCTTGTTTTACGACTTACACAAGTGGGAGGCTAGGACTTCATTTCGGATCTTAGAGGATGCAAGCTAAAGCCCTCAAGGACAAGATGTAACATAAAGTCTTTGTGAAGGGTACAACCAGCACAAATTCTTAAAGTGCACATGACAAATTCAAATCTTCTAGCATCCAGCATTTTGTTACTAAAAAGAAGTCTTAGTCCCCATTCTGCAGATAAACCTTTGAAATTAATAAAGTTTTACTGATGGAGACAACCAAAAAGAAAAACTCAGCGATGCGAACTGTGTCCTGCTTAAGCCTGAGTGCAGTCTTAACTCGGAAGTCCATCACTGTCAACTTTAGTTATTTAACCACGGATCACTTGGTGGATACATAGCATACGAAATGGCAATGAAACAGACTCAGATGGGAACTGGAGAGGCCGCTGGGGAGAAAATGCAGAGAAAAATCAGGAAGGTGTGCTATAGAACTACTACCAATGACAGGAATAAAAAAATTTCTTCATATGTAGTATGAAGATACATGGCATAGATATATGGGTTTGCTTTGTATTTGTAGCCAAAACAGTGCTGATAACACACCCGTGTTTTGGCTATTGCTGAACAGTACTTCCTTCCTTCAAATGCTTCCTTTTCTCCTTCACATAAGCTGGGGCTTGAGGCTGGGATCTGATAGAGTCAAGACAGGTGATCCATACCACAGCACTCAGCAATAGGTCCTCAGGGAGGTGCAGAGGAAGGGTGGATGTCTGTGATTATGATATTTCTCTGTGCAAGCATGTGCTTAGGTTCTGCTTCCCTGGAAGTGGTTGGACAACTGCTGATGAGAAAAGCAAATAAAGTCCTCTTTTTGCTCTGCTTGCACACAGAGCTTTTACTTTCCCTTGTTAAACTGTCTTGATCCACGAGTGTTCTCATTTTCTTCTATTTCCCATCCAAACCTGCAAGAGAGAGGACTGAGTGAGGGGCTGGGTGGGTGTTCAGCTGCCGGCTGGGCAGCCCATCACAGCCCTTAAGGTAGAGAGCAGATATTACTCATCATGGCTAGGCTTCGCGAACGAAGATTTGGGAAGGCTCTATCCACATTTGCTACAGGCACCCTGGTGGCTTATGAGGCCAATATGTGACAGACATATCCGATTGCAAAAGGCACAGCAGAAAGACTCCTTAGATGGTGTATTCTGCAATACACGGTTCTTTCTGCGTTGCCTTTTTTCCTCAAGAGTGATCCTGCGTGTGTTCTCGAAGGAGACAGCTGTGTTATAGATGGTGTGTCTCCAGGCCTCCCGACTGGAGGCCAGAGTAGACCAGTTATGGTGATAGATATTACTAAGTAAGTGTTTAATTATTCTTTCAAAGACTGTATCTTGTCAGGAATAAAGAGGCATATATAAATAATTTTATTTTAAAAATCCAGGAATTTTTGGGAATACAGTAATTATCTCTGCTCTCCCAGAGTATATCTGTTTTAACTTCAGTTTTCAGTGCAGCAAAAGAAATGTATGTTACCATGATGAGTAATTATGCTTACAGACAGCTAGTGTTAAGTGTGAATCCATTTAACCCACTTGACAAAGATTATTTGCCAAATGTTCAAATAAAATTACTTATTCCAAAGTGATTTGCAACAGTTAGCCAGCAAACAACTCATATCTTAAAACTTGAAATCTATTACCTAAACTAGAGCCTCTTAAGCACTTCTGATAGTATTTTTAGTTTCAGATTATACTTTGTTTTTGAGCATACTAGTTTATGCATACTTAACATTTCACAGATATCTTTCAAATGTAGGTAACAGCTTTGTGAAAGCATGTATCATCATTTATAGTACAATCAATTAAAAACTAATTTACCTGCCAAATGTAACTAAATCAATAATTCAAACTGTTCCATATTACCACAATCAATGCAGCACCTTTTAATGCAGCTGAGAAAAACACTACTACATAAAATTATGATCTTTCAAATCAGAGATGATTTGTGGTTTGCACCAGGCATATACTTACATATTTATATACCTACATATTTATATACAACAGAAAGTTTTTGCAACTGGGTAAGATGGTCATGCAAGAAAACAAAAACCCTCCAATATTTGAGTTTTTCATCATTTTCATCCCTTAAAACACCCCATGATTCCTAGTGCTCCAGATGAAGTACCTACGCTGTACTTAGTACTCTCAAAGAAAAAATTGCCTGGAAAATGTGACATGGTTAGTTTTGCATTAATTCAAAATCAAATTTGAATTAGGATACCTATTGGTCTTATCTCACAGTCCCTGGTCTGCTAATGTTCTAGCCTCACCATAGCATGTTATTTTTCTCACACAAATCTCTAAAATCTTTTTCTCCCACTGTAACCTCACTGAACTATCTAACCACTGGTCTCCATAGTACCTATTTCAGAGACAGTGAGTAAAGTATACACTATTTATTTCTAATTTTGTTAAGTAAATTCAGGTCATCATATGCTTCTCCATACACACAATATTTTTGAGCGCTTAATTTTTGTTTTACTTCATCTGATCTTCGCCATTCTAGCTGGTTGTTCTCTCCCACTGAATAATTACTGAAAGTAAACTGCATGCCCTTGAGGCAGGGATTATTGAGTTCACCTACACTGAAAAAGCACCTAACACTTCTGAAGTTCTCTGAAACAAATAAAGATGCTAGAATACTCTACCACCTAAAGCTTTCATTGTCAATGCTGCAAATTACTTCTACATAAAAGCTACTAAACAAAATGTTGCTTACAAAGCAAATGTTTAGTATGAACTTAGCAATATTTAAAACAAATGGTATTGCAGTTTTTATGGGGAGCTCTTATGGGTTTTATGTTCTTAGACACCATCACTGTGTATTTAGTGTTACTGTACACTATACACTGGTACACTTCTATATTTAACATCAATCATTCCTGTCCTTCCAGTATGTGACGTTCTTCCTTCCAATTTTTCACTAATGAAAGCAATCTCATGTACCTCAAGAAGTAATATAATGTATAGGCTGCAAATAATCTGTGATGATGGCTACTGCTTAGACAGAGAGCAGTCTTTTCCAAAACAACTCTACCACAAAAAAGAATATGAAATGGTTTTTATATGCTTTGTAAGGACTGTTTAATGCTGTATGATGAAACTCCTCCTCATGGCAACAATGAATCAAGCAAAAAAATGAGCCTTCAAGTACTGGCATGCCTTTTGCTTTCATTTATATAGTTATTGGTACCGATATATTCGGCATAATTATAATATGCCATTATTGCTAGAGCAATACTCTATGGCAACTCTGCAGCATAGAAGTAAGTTTGCTGTATAGCTTTTGCTCATTTATCAATGTGTTTACTGCAATGGACCATACTTCCAAAATTTTTTATTCCTAAGAAAAAAAAAAAACAGGGCAAACACTCTGATTGCCTGACAGAATACGTGAGTACAGCACGCTAATATGAAATATAATTATTAATGAGGCAGTGAAATACGTTAAGCTATGCTAGTCTACCCAACCTGGAGTATGGTGTTCAGCTTTGGGGCCCTTAGCATAAGAAAGACATGGATCTGCTGGAGCAATTCCAGAGAAGGGTCACTTAAGCTGATCATAAGGCTGGAGCACCTCTCCTTTAAGGACAGGCTGAGAGAGCTGGAGTTCAACCCGGAGAAGACAATGTTCCAGGAGACCTTACAGCACCTAATGAGGGTCTACAAGAAAGAGAGAGAGGCACATTTTACAAGTGCATGTAGTGATAGGACAAGGGGGAAACAGCTTTAAATTGAAAGAGGATAGATTAAGATTAGATATTTGGCAGAAACTGTTTACTGTGGGGGTGGTGAGGCACTGGAACAGGTTACCCAGAGAAGCTGTGGCTGCCCCATCCCTGGAAGCGTTCAAGGCCAGGTTGGATGGGGTTCTGAGCGACCTGGTCTATCGGAAGGTGCCACAGCCCATGGCAAAGGGTTTGGAAATATATGATCTTTAAGGTCTCTTCCAAGCCCAAGCATTCTATGATTCTATGATGATCCACAGAACACAGTCTCTTTTTCAGAGTGTATTTTTAATTTTCAGAAATTCAGACGTGACATTAAAAATTTTCTACAGAGATAAAATTAAAATGCCACTGGACTTTTAGGTCATTTAAGTTCTCTAAAATATGGCTGGACAATTTTTCTGCTATCAGATGATAGAAATATAATTACTTCTGTCATTTTGATTCAGTTTTAAAAATACATGTAGAGAGTAGTTAATTCTGTAGTTAACATGCTTATGATGTACTGTCAGGTCCACTCTGGCCAAATTTAGTACAAAAGCAAGGAGCCAAACACAAGAGTAAAAAAACTGTCTTCCCTAGAATCAACAGAGGACTAAATTCAATCTTAGAGTATATTTTCAGATTTTGGTTATCCAATGTCATCAGCATGCAGGTCACCCAGGCACAACTACTAGGTAGGATGCTCCTTTTCATTGTTCTTGCATTACTGAGGGGAAATTAAAATGTGGCCCCCTTTGCCTCCACCTCAAATTAGATATGTTAGTTTCTTAGGTCAGAACAACTAATAATTTAAGTATGGATTATTACATTGTCTCAGTCTGATGAGACTAGAATGTTTGCTAAAGAGGATGAGTTATGAGATAGACCAAACTTCTCTCTCTCAGCAATTGTAAATTCAAAATTAAGGGGCTTTAATCGAGAAACTGTGGAAAAAACAGAAGAAATAACAACCCTTTATTAAAAGATATATGTATGTTGGCAAGAACAGTGACAGAACACAAAAAAAACCTAGACAATAGTCCTGTACCCAAAAGTCCCCTTCAAACAAAAGAAAAAGTCTGAATACTTCTCTGTCCTTTAGCGCAGTTCTAATCACGGTTGGTGGGGGCACTGTTGGATCGCCGGAGGTGCAGAGTCTGCAGTTCTCTGTGGTGACCTGCAGGGGGTACTGTTGGGCTCTGGCGGTCACTGTGCAGGAAGGGGGTCTGTGGGTGGTCTTGGGTCACGGGAGAAGCCAAAAAAGAAAATGGGGGACCCTTCCCTCAGTGGAAGAAAGGGGGAAAAGAAAGCAGTCCACCCCCAACGGAACTCACTGTTGTTCCCAGGTGACGGTGTCTCAAGACTTCTCTTCTCTCTCCCTCAGTGGGCACAGAGCTCTCCGATGAAAACACAGTAGGTCCTGGCTGGAGTCACGAGGCAGTGTGCAAAGCCAGCTGAGACCAGTGATCGGCTTCACCAGGACGAGAAGCCAGAAAAGCCCGGCTTCCTGGCTTTTTTCTTCAAAGAATGCCCGCACACAGACTCTGTATCTGTTCAAGAGAGAGAACTCAGCAGTCTGCCCCTCTCCCGTCCAAGCAGAGCCAGCCACCCCCTCCCAAAACTCCTCCCTTCTCCCCCCAGTCTCTGATGGGGCATCAGCTAGGAATGTGGTCCAGCAAGCTAGACCCTTTGTAAGGCAAATTGACCCCTTCCTCCTTTCCATTCAAACTCCTTCTTTCCTACAGTGGGGGGGGCAGGCGGAAGAAAAATTCCACTCTTAAATTTACAACCTATAACATACATACATTAAATACGTAAGGCTACAAAAGCTCAAAAGCAGATACAAAAGTCCATCTTCAAAATTTATGGAGACAAAAGCTGGATCAGTTTTTATATTCACACTAGGAAGTCAGGGTATCAATACATGGTGATTATGTTCTAGCCCTCAACTTAATTCTATCTGCAGCAAATCAGTTCTTGATAATGTCTCAGACATTTCCACCTAGAGTAATTACATTTTTATAGCCATCATAAGAAACATCCATCAAGTGAAAATGATTTGCTGGTAGGAAACAGTCTGACTGCAAACAACCAAAAATCTAACACAAGAACATTTTTCCAGCAGGATTGTTAGACTATGGAACAAACTAATAGTTAGCAAAAATCATAAGTATAAAGCCATGTTTTCATGTTATACCTCATCTGATCTATCAGCTAACATTTGTTTATCTCCAATGACACAGTTTCAACTATACTCTTATGCTGGCTACAGTAAACTAGTGAACCCAGCATGACCTGACATGGCACAAAAAACAACAGAGAGGTATTTAGTTTTAGTCTTTTTTCCTCTCTGAATTAGGGCACTGTGTAGTCAGATGAGACAAGAGAAGTAGACAGTTCTGGTCAGAACTGTATGTGGATGCCTTTTCACTCACATGAAACCACCAACTATGTTGCCTACTCACACTATCATTTAAACTAAAAAGGTAATCAGGTACCGGTATATTTTGGCACTGCCAAGTGGTTCTGTCTATGTCAGTATTTTTAACAAAGAACTGCAAATTGCCCAGAACATAATTCATAAAACTAAGTTGCAATAGCATATCACTGACACGGTGAGTCATATACATTTCCTTGATGTTCACATTTGGCAAAAGCAAAACATAATTCCTGAAAAGTTCTGATTCAGTCACAAATGCACTGTGCCCATCCACAATTATGACAGGCTGGTGCTGTTCAGAGAGTCACTAGTAGGAACCCTGCAGATGGACACATAATTCATACCTTCTTTTATTTGTTTTGTTATTTGTTACGCCAAAAATCTAGTTTCATTTGTAAGCTTTCCAAAAGGGCTATCCCATAAACTAGCAGGTACCTTGAACTTCTAGTGATCTTCTAGAAGAACGTCTCATAAAACATGCATCTCGCACTAACAGGCTCTAAATCAGGAAAGATGAACCATTGGTGTTGATAAGAAGTTTGTACTCAGCACAATTTTTTGTTGAAACAAAAATTTAAACAGAGCACTGGGTTTTTCTGAATAAATTTGACACTAACCACAAAAAATTTCATAAATACAAAGAATTTAAACATTATTGCTCTACACTAAGTTAGGGAGGTGGGTCCTTAGAACAACTCCTTAGATCAGAGATAAAAAATGGATGAAGTTCTTTGGCAAATGATGGAAATGGCAGCACTTTGTTTTCTACTAATATGTCTTATCTTACTTCTTTCTTAAAAGTAAAAACACAGAGCCAAATGAATAAAAGGTGCTCTCCATCTTGTGTGTTTCACGTATAGTCACAAGTCCTGATCTCTTACTTCAACATTCAAATACATATGAGTTGACAGTCACCACTCTGTCTCTGTTTTCCACTTAGATTGCACTTGTGTCATAGTCTCCTGAGACTCTGATCTGTTTCCCCCCACTCCCTTTTCTTCTCTAATCCAGCTTCAAAACAAAGAACAGGAGGAGCAGGGAAGGTATGTGCATTTGCACTCCAACTCCACTACCCTTTGTTCCTTCAACCTCCATCTGCAACCCTATCCAACATAGTGGGAGCATGACAAGAGACAACTGCAAAAAACCCCCTGTATTTACTTTCTTAGGCTAAGTGGTCTCACTCTTGGAATTGTGATGCATGGTTTGTCAATCACCTTCCAGGCAGCTCTGTCTGTGCCAGGTTTCCTCCCTCTGCACACAGGTTTCCTCCCTCTGTCTGTAAGGACCCCTTACACACTACTATCTGAGACACAAAGGAGAGCAGAAGGTGACATGAGCTACGTTTGGGCCATAGTTTACTAGTTGAGGGGTCTTGCTGCATAGTTTTCAATACCTATGTTACTAAAATGTACCTTTTCAGTTCATGTTCCATACATCATGTATAGGGCTAGGAAAATACTGGCAAGCTTTTTTAGAGTAACCAGCTTGAGGTATAAGAATTATTTTCTTCCACTGTGCTCAAAATCTCACTTTCTGTCTGCTTTTCCTGAAGAATTGCTTGAAAAATTGAGCTCTCCCCACAATAAAAGATGACAAGAACCACACTGCATGCAAAAAAAAAGCAAGTCTGTTGCCATAGAACATTCACACCCATATTTGAAAAACAACAGAAGACAAGTGGAAAAACTCCTTGTATTTTAAAGTACTAATAAGAAATTGAAGATAAGATGCTGAGGAGACACATGCAAGTTCAAAAAAGCAGCTCCAGTGGTTCAAGGTCTTTTGATACAGTACCATGTTAGTATGGCCAGTCTTTGTGAGCGAAGATTTGGGAAAGGTCTTTACCCTTTGAGCCTGCGCAATGGATTTTTTAGGTGAGACACAGCGTGCACTGAAGTGAGCCCACCCTTTAATCCTGAGGTTCATCTGCCGGGGCCGAACGAGCTTGGACAGTGGCAGTGAGGTCCTCAGGACGTAGGTTTGTTTAGAGTGACCTTCTCTTTGATGGATGGCCTTACAGGGCTGACGAGCTCCATCTGCCCGGGGGAGTTTCCCTGACTGGGAATCGAACCCGCGCCACAGCGGTGACAGTGCCGCATCCTAACCTCTAGACCACCAGGGGTCCCTGCAGTACCATGTACAAAAGGGCAAAAAGGCAAACTGCTGTTAAGAACATAGGTAGAATATTAGGTAGAGACATTTAAGACAGATAAACTGATACTCTGAATCTTATCTAACCAGATCACTGGATTTGTTGAGATTCAAAATGTTGAACAAAATCTGTGCTAAAAGCAAGAGAAAAACCTATCTTTGTAGCTGAAATTGATGAAATAGTAGTATAGATAAAGAGAAACAGAGAATACAGATAATGTGCTGCTACAGACAAATTTCTGTAAGATGTTACACTACTACTGCCACTTACGGGTCTTACAGAAGTTTGATCTAGAGAAAATGCAGAGAACAACTGAGAGGCCATCTCTGCACTCCGGTTAAGCAACTACCTTCTAATGCATCTCTCCATTATAAAGTAAGATTATAGTTTACTAATAGTGGCTCAAGTTAAGCCCAGGAGATCCTCATAACATTTTGTTACCCACTGTGGTGGGTCACATACTGTACTTTTCAGCATATATCCCAAAAATCCAGTACTGCTCACACATTTGCATTAAAACAGTTTCCCTGCACTAGTCAATGCTACATTTATACTTAAACTAAAGGGAATTGGGTTACTTTCAGAACAAAAGGAATCCAAAAGACAGACATCCACACAGTGGTTAACACCATTCTAAATATGGATATATTCCATAGATTAAGAGATTTAAATCCAGAAAGATTAATCTAATAGTAATTCTAATGTATTATTTCTAACCTCCTAACACATCTTACTTTTAGAAACCAGATTGGTCTGTTGTGCTGTGCTGCAGATGGAAACAGCAGCATATTGTCACAGCAACTACAAAAATGGTGTTCTGCCTTTCAGTTTAGTAGTTCCTTGATGAAGAGAATTGATCATCTAGAAGAAATCTCTTTCTGCTCAGCATTTTTTCTAAGGCATAAATCTCAATTTCAGTTTGCTAATATACTAAAACCAGTATTACTCTTTACTGTAACATAATTAACATGCTCACTTCAACTGGATTTTGGACCCAGCTCAAAAGAAGCACTACTTAACAGTACAAGATGCGTCATTATGCAGCCAAGAGGAACCACCAGGTCTGTCTGTATGTACTTTTTAAACAACCTCTCATGTATCTTTTCCTACAACCTTGTCTATCTTGTAGAAAGATGGAGCACCAAACCCAATTAACAGCTGTAAAAAATGCAAATAATATAAACCATACACATTTGTCCATATGCAATGCTACATTTTTCTCTTTACTATTCTAGAATCCTATTTTCTAATGTTGTCAATAAAACAAACAAGTAATTCTCTAAACCATTGATAAGTGTCTTTGGTATGCACCAGACTTTAAGAATAAAAGAAAATTAATCTGACAGAAGAACGGCAGCTTCTATCTAGGACATGCTCTTCTGGATGTGCCAGTGCTGGTTGGTCTGCTACAGTGGGGTTGGTTTCTACAGATTTTTGCCCTGTGAATGGTATCTTTTCCTTTTGCAAAGTTCAAGTACAGCATTTCATACATTAGAGCATTTAAGAGTCTCCTATGTGTACCTGACTTCTTCAAATTTCCTAAAGATTAGAAGTTACCTGAATAAAATTTGCCACATCATCAATTGTGGCTGAAATGCATTTTTCTTCCTTCACTATGTATGAACCTTTTCATGGTTTAATGAATGTTCTTTGCTCTGTTTTTTATTAATTAAGTGCTTTCTATGACTTATTTTCTTAAGTAGATTGCTTGGCATGAAAATTAATATGACAAGAAAAACAGCAGAGTAAGCACACAGATGGGAGTGGCACAGCAAAATGCACAGTAAAATGCATTTCAGAGTTGCACTGCAATTCTAGCTCTCCTCTTCCTGAGACATACTAATTTTAATCTGAAAATGGAAGCTGAGATATTGTAAATTACATCTATTTTCATCTTTTAATTAGACTTTTAAAAAAGTCCACGGAATTCTTTTTTCTTACTCTGTTTTTGGTTA